GCAATGCACTGAGCCCTCTATACAGCTGAAATGGTCCCTGGATTGGTTTCCCATTAACCACTCACTCCCCTGAGAAAGCTTGGGGAGCTTTTAAGTATCTCTCCAGTAGTCCACTTCTCTCAAACTCTACCTTTGCTCCCACAGTCCAGGCACCATCACACTTATTTGGAGGCTGCAGCAGCCCCCACCCCAGGGTCCCCGTCTAGTCCCTCTCCAACCTGTCCTCCCCAGAATGGTCCAGCCATCAGGCATCAGGCATCATTTCAATACACAGGTCTGTGCATGTCACTACCCTGCAGGGGCTTCCTCTTCAGCTCAGGACCCCACGGTTGGGCCCGCCTCCTCTCCATCCTACATGCTCCATGCCCAGTCTACTTGCTCTGCTGTAGCCCCCATCCCCTTCTGGTCCCTCAAACTCACTCTGCTCCCTCCCACATCAACACCATTTTCCATGCTGTTCCCTCCACCTGGAGCACCCTTTCCTGCATCTACCAAATCAGCGCCTACCTATCCTTCACATCTCAAGTGTCTCTTCCCCAAAGCAGTGTCCTTGGCCTTTGGACAGGATCAGATTCCTCTAGAATATGTGTGTCACACTTACTGTGGTTGTTTTCCATTGGGAGTTTTTTGTTTTTTGTTTTTTTAATTACTGGTTGTCTCTCCCACTAGCCAACGAACGAGTTGATGAGGACAGAGATTGCATATGTCCTGATCATCCCTGTATTCCCAGGGCCTACCACAGGGCCTGGCAAAGAGTAGGTATTCAATAGATTTTTATTGATGAAATAAATAAAATAGATGAATGGGTGGACATATATTTATGGTCAAAAACCCAAGCCCCTTTCAAAACCCTAGATAGATAGATAGATAGATAGATAGATAGATAGATAGATAGATAGATAGATAGATAGATAGACAGACAGACAGATGAATGTAAATGGTGGCTGGGTGGATAGATGGATGTGTGAATAGATGAGTGGGTGGATGAGGGTGGGTGGATGGGTATTGGGGTGAGTGGGTGGGTGTGGGTGGATGAGTAGGTAGTAGGTAGATAGGTGAAAGCCTGGATGGATGACTATGTAGATGGGAGCGTCTGTCCTTGGGTGGTCTGATGTGGTGCCAAAGAGCATGGACGTAGGAGTAAGACACCCTGGAGCCCTCCTATCTACCATAGCTTGCTTTGTTATCTTGGGTAAGTCACTACCTGTCTCTTAGCCTTGGTTGCTGGGAAAATTAAATAAGTGGAGGGAAATTTTTCAAGACGCATACTTCTTGGAGACCAAAATTTGGGGAATGGTAAAGAGAACTTCAGGGTTTCTTCTGCTGTCTCACAACAGAAGTTGTGTGACTTTGGATAAGTCATTTGGTCTCTCTAATCCTCAGCTGCTATTCTGTGAGGTGGACAGGGGAGGCAAGGGGGAGTTTGTGGCAGGAATCTCCGGCACTGAGTCCCACTCTTGTTTCAGTATCTTTCTTCCAGAGAAATTTGTCCTCAAAGGGAGGAAGTAAGCAAGCACCCTATTGAATTATTTAATGGCAGGACAAGTAGCTTCCTGGTTCCTCCTGGTCCTAGATACTACTCCCAGCAGCAATTTTCCAAATCTGTGGTTTGGCAACCACAGGCCCAGAATGTCCTGGCTCCAGGCAAAGCATAGCATGTTGGGTAGGAGTGGGAGAGGGGGGCCAGTGGCAGGAGGAGGGGACTGAATCACTGACGACTTTCATTCAAGTCAAATACCACCTCCTTTTGCGGATTTCTCAAAGGGTAGTTCTCAAAACCTCAGCTCCCTCATCTGTAAAATGGGAAAGGCCTAGGCAAAATGAGTTTAAAGGGCACTCATGGCTCTCGCTATTGGAATCTATCTTCTCCCAGCCATCCTGGCCCCTAAGCTCTCCAGAGGTCAAGTTTAAGCCAAACTCCTCCTTTGGCCAGCGCCAGGTCTATCTCCCCTTCTAATCCTCTACCCCTTGTCCTGCTCTCCATCCCCCTTTTCCCCCTCTTTCTCCTTAGTCTCCTTATCTCTCTCTCCATCCTTTCAAGGGCTGAAGAAGCTGGGAGCTCAGGCAGCAGATCTGGTTCCAAGCCCAGCTCCATTATTTACTAGCTGTGTGACACTAAACAAGTGAGGTCTGCAATCTGAGCCTCCCTTTCTGCATCCCCTATACGGGTCAGATGGCTCTCTTCTCATAGGATCGTTTTGAGGGTTCGATGAGATTTTTGTACCTACACATAGTAGGGGCTTTATAAACGCCATATTCTTTTTTCTTCATCGTCACTGTTTCTTTTGTGCTTCCCTCTCTCTTTCCTCCCCTATCCACAAATACCATATTCTCTTCTTGTCCCTCTGCCTGCTTCCCAGCACCACCTCAGCCCACCCATCACACTCAGAAGGCAGCATTGAGGCCCTATTGTCCGAGTGCCAGCCATCGAGGGAGTGCTCTTGGGCATAAAGCAAACTTGCTGCCCATGGAGTAATTCAGGTGAACACATTTCGTGAACCACGGGGACTTGGTGTGTGTGGCTGGTGGAGATTTTCCGAAGAAGGTGTAGGGACAACACTGAAGGGGATGTCATGGTTGATTTTAAGCATTTAAAGGGAAACTATAGTCAGAACACAAAGACTGGTGAGGCAGCCAGAAAAAGGAGGCCTGACCCAAAGGAGGAAAACAGCTGGTTTGAATTTTGCTCCTGTTCATCAGCTTTTCCAAAGATAAAAATGATTTCCTGGCTTCCCCAGCCTGGCCCAGCCTGCATGTAGCCCAGCAGGAACGAGGAGCAGAGCCCAGGAAACAGCACCGCCCTGGGGGTCAGAGGCCCATGTGGCTGATGACTGTCTCTGGGACCTAAAATACATCTCGTCTCATGCCTCGTGCCTCAGTTGCTTCGCCCATGAAGTTGGGGAGGGGGTGACAGGGTACACTGCGCAATATTTAAAGCTCCTTTGTTGCTCTCAAACTGTCCAAGTGCAGATTGCTGAAAGTGATCGATTGGAGGCCCAAGCTTAGGATCTAATTCAGAACTGGCTTGCCATAAACACAAGCACCCAGTGAGGGAAGGAATAGTTTATCTCTTAATGAGGTGTGATTCCAAACAGCCCGTGGCCTCGGGAGCTTGCCCCGTGCTGTGTAGACATTACATCTGTTCATTGCATCTTGCCAGAGAATTGGCTTCACAAAGAAGGGAGTTGGAAGAGAACAGAATGCAGATCCTCAGAGGCCAAAGGGCCTTGGGCCCACAAGGGTTGGCCTCCTGCCAGGCCTCTCTCCCCACTACCTTCCCTAAGATCTCAGAGGTGCAGGAGTGGGGAGCCGTGGTGGGCATGTCAAGGGAGCTGGAAGCAAACTGCATTTTCCTTGCCATGTCGGGTCATTTTTGAAAACTATTTGCTAAGCTGGCTTAAAGGCCATTAAGATGTTTACATTAGACTGCTGAGGAATATATATTTATGGTCAAAAACCCAAGCCCCTCTCAAAACCATAAGACTCTGCAGCTTTATTTGAGCTGGACAGACCTAGGTTCATATCCAAACTCTGGCAAAGATCAGCTGGGCACCCTCTGGCAATCTCTCTGAGCCTCAGATACCTTATATGTGAAAGAGAAGTAATATGTAATTGTACCTAACTCAGAGCATCTGTGAGGAATAAATGAAATATGTGTAAAGTGCTTATTATAAGAAGTGCTTAATAAATGTAGGCTATTATTATAGTCTAGAATATTCTCAATAGACATATGCTCCATAGGGCTGGGCCACCTCTGGCTAGCTGCATGCCCTTGGGCAAGTTGCTTGCCTCCTCTTTGTCATTTGTAAATGAGATAACTGACGGTGTCCTGCTAGATAAGGAAAGGCAACAGGGCTGCATATAGGAGGAGCTCTGTGCCTCTGGCACCCCATGACCAGCATCTCAGGAGCACAGTTCAAGGAGTCAGGCTCCAGACTCTGCTTCCAGTTCAGTGACTGAGCCCTTGGACGCAGTCGTGAGCCCTTGGACGCAGTCGTCAGCCCTCGAGATGCTTCTAGTCGTCAGCCCTCAAGGTACCCCCAGGTTGCTCCTGGCAGCAGATTTTGGACTAGTCTCCAGCGAGTCTTTAGGAAGTTGAGGAGGAGGAGAGGCCTTCCTTACTCACCTCTTGCCTTGGAGTGTTTTACTCTGAGCAGCTCCAACCAGAGTCAGTGGATTAGGGAAGGAGGGAGGAAACCCTGGAATGAGGTTGGGGCTTCTGGTGAAGCTGCCCCCTCAACCCAGCCCCCGGGGAACAAATGCAAAGTGAGAATAAGGCTTGGGGGAAAGGACTGGCACCACCTCCACCCCTAAAATAGCTACGGCCCAAAGCACCATCATCCT